ATTGAATCAGCTTTTTTTTACAAAAATAATAAAAGATAAAATTCTTAGAATACTTTCAAAATTACAATACGTATCAACGTCTACAAAATTGTTGTTTCTAATATGAGCCTTTTTGTTTAATAATTAATTATATTATGTTACAATAGAAATGTATTTGGATGAATAATATAATAATATTTTAATTCATATTTTGTGTGTGTGTTTTCTTATATTAACTGAGTTGAACCTGTTTGCACGTATACTTTTTATTAAATTTATGAATAAATCAATCTATCTTTAAAATAACAAGCGTTACAAATGGGTTAATAAGAGAAAGAAAAAGGACAATTAAATGGAAGTAACACGAACATTATAAAAATTTAAAATGCTTGGGATTCCGAAAAAAAAATCGGTTTTCTAACTGGTGAACTGATAATAAGGTTTACGAAATTTATTGTGATGATAATGGTTATGGTTTTCAAAGAAATTCGTATTTTTAAAGTTATTACAAAAATAAAAACCTAAAAAATAAGGAAATATTAAAAAATCAGAATACGAAACTCCCATCTTCGTTAATATTTTAAATCTACATATTTTTTTTTAAGATATTTATATCAGTTATTATTGATATAAATCTCTTGGGGTTTTTTCTGCCACCCTTTCAGTGCTTATTGGTTCATACAATTTTTTGTTGTTGGTTAGATTCGAGCTGCCAACTTTTGTATTCAATTTTATCTATATAGTTAAAGAATCATAAACTCTATTTTGATCTATTAGAAATATAAAACATAGACTTTTATCAAGTATATGTCTATTCAAGTCTATTCATATGTTTTAATCATAGAAATGACGTTTGTCTTTTTATTAATAGATTCTTTAATGGTATTATAAACCCTTATTAATCTCGTAATCAAGATTTGAATAATTAATAGGACGGATTAAACGCAGACCCCCAAAACGTAATTACTTGTTGTGATTGGAGTGATTGGTACGCATCATGATAATTGGATCGTTTGGTCTTCACTTGGTTGAATGCTCTCTCTGAACTATTTTATTGAACTCTTGTTCGAAACGCAATTAATTAAGTTACGGTTATTTTCACAAGTCAATCACCGTGAGTTTAACAGAACGATGCTGGCAGGTTTAGTTTTTATATAAGTTTTCTTAACCTAAATAGAAGACCAAATAATTTTAACAATAATCTAAATATTTTAATAGTTATATTATTACTGCTTATTGTAAATAATGAATTTATTTATATTGAATAAATAAATGGAATAATAGAACAGCAATAACTCATCAATGGGGATTCAATAAAGTAAACAAGTAACAAATTGGTATATAAAATTATTTTTTATATACGTGAATGATCGATATTTTCAATATATTTAAATTTCTTCGATTAGTCCGGTTTCAAACAATCCAATATATCGGATCCGATTACCACAATACATAAAATTATATTTAGTAAAAACATGGATTTCAACTAATTATGTTCTAAATAATTACATCAAATAGTGTAAAATAATTGTCATAAAAATATTTTGTAAAGAAAAAAAAAATAAGAAAACAGCGAAATTATAATCACATTATGTTTTTTTTATAAGTTTCATCAAACAGAAAAATGTGAAATGTGAAACATATCCTAAGTTTGTAACTTTTACGAAGTTAACGTGCATTTGTTAACTTCGAGGCTATTAAATAATCTAATTATGAAATTTATTTTATTCTTCAGCTTTCTTAGGTTGACACTAGTTTATATTGCGGTCTTGTGGCTCTCTCTGCATTCTTTCAATTTCACAAGTACTTTCTTGGCGGCAATCCAAGATGAAGTGTGACCATAATTTAGTTTCTTGAGAGGACATTTACAAAACCACAAAGAATATGTGAGTTACAATATTGTCAAATAATATAACTAGATTTACACTAGAACAATATATAAAGTGAATATGATATACCAAATATTTTGAGTTTAATCAAATATCAATGATTTCACATTAAATTTTTTTTTGCTTGTTCGAAAACCGAAACAAATTATACTTTTCATATATCTCATACAGTATTTCTAGTTTGTTCGAAAGTTTTGTTAGAAAACCGATGCATATTTTTCCTCATCGTTCGAGAACCTTGGTTTCTTTTTAATATTCTTTTGTTTGAAATTAAAAAAAAAATCATGTACAGGTATACTTAATGTTACTTAGTTATCTAGATATTATTTTTCTTAACAGTTTTTACACATAAAAAAATGATTTAAGGTATAGTTTTTCTGAATGGAACCACGGTTAAATGAGATCAAAAATATTAAACTATACCTGATTTGCAGTACGTCTGGGGAACCGAAACTGAGTGTTTTCTGGTTTTATGTTCGGGAACCGAATCGATCGGAATCGATTTAATATATTTTACATGTTTTTACCATTCTCAATATTAAATTAGGTCTTATAATTATGTCGTATAATAACAGTTATCTCCACTTACTTTTTTTTGTTAAATATTCTTTATATGGTTAAATTACTTTTCTTATCTATTGTAAAAAATAGTTATTAATAGTTAAGTTGTAAGTAACGAAAAAAGCTGAGGAAGGTATTAAATATTTAAAGACGTAATAAAACGATTAATGGTAAAGACGAATGAATGGAATTCGTCGAGCATAGAATCAGACAGGGAGTGAATTGTCCATGAATTGGTAATTAAATCGCTCACATTTCAGTTCTTGCTGAGGTCTATTGAAACGCTTTAAAAATGTAATAACGCGATTCAAATGCCATTCGAATACTCTTAAAAATCAATGTCGAGCTTTGCACGTACTTAAAACATTGAATTCTATTCACTCTCCACCCTCACTAAATATTCTACCATTTCTCGTATTTTTTTAAACCTCCTCCTCTACTCTCTACATTCTCCCTCTCAGTAATAAATACGCTTTAAATGTGTTCTTAATCGAATTAAAACCCCGTTTTCTCCCACTTAAACAACTCTCTAATTGCTCTCTTTTTCTTATTAATTCAGGGCCATCCGTTATCTGCGTAGTCCCCTTTTTCTTTCCTTGGCTACGGCTCTTGCTTATAGAACGCGTTTTAAGTGGAAAATAATGGTCGAAAGAGGACTTGGAAGGGAAGGAAGAAAAAAATATATAAAGAAAGAAGGAAAATATAAAGTGTTTGCGTGCGAAATATACGGGTCCGATTCGTCTCACCTGGCGTTAGAGGCGTTAATTAAAAGAAGTTGGAAAAGTGTTACCTTCGTTAAGGCGGACACGGGGATAAGAGAAAGGCAGGTAGAAGAAAGCCGAGGAATGTATGCGATTAATTCGATTCTGATTTCTTTTTAATCCTGATTAAGGACCGACATGGCCGCGATTAAGACAGGACGGAAAAATTAATTGGCTCTGCCTTGACTAGAAAAAACCTGCATGGATTTTCTTCAATAGTCGTCTTTTTCTACTTTCTTTATTTTTCTACAATTTAATAGGATTGTATTGATTTTGGGAATAAAATTAATTTATATTTCAATTTCATAAGATTAATTTCAAAAATAACCTAATATGTTATAATTAAATATTTATAATTGTAGTATATAACTTTGAGAATTTAACCAGAATTTAAACTGATTTTTTTTCTATTTCTATTTTTTTCTCTTGCAAATGCACTAATAATAAAAGTTCAAATATAATTAATTTTATATGTCTATATATAACTATATATGTAAGTATCAAGAAGCATATGTATTATATAAACTTTTAAAGTTATTGATAAATTTAGTTTATAGTTGACTTTTAAATTGGTCAGTAACTAAAATTGATGTAGTTTAAATTACTGATGAGAAATATATAATAAATGTTTTCAGTGAAGTGTAACAAAGCTATAATTTAAAACTTATCGCATAAACATGTTGAGTTCAGGTTAATGTTCGGAATCAGTCGAGGCTGTGTTTAGTGTAGCGCGAAATAAGAATTGTATGTGTAGTTTCTATGTGAACGAACTCACGGGACTTGATATAAGTATTTGTGAAATTGAGTGAAATCTTATTTGTAAGCATTAAAAATACATTCGCTTGCGTCGTCAGAAATCGCCATCTTTTCACGCAAACATTTCACATGTGGCAGCATTATAGTGAATAGTCTGCAAGGAAGGATCCGTAATAAAAATGCTGACATTTAAATGTCTGCACATAAATTGGACTGCAAACATCACATATATAGTCCACACCTAATCATGTATAGGAAATGCGAAATACATTCGTCGACAATATACATAGACAAAATGCTATGTATGCTAAATCAGAAGAGAAAATACTTTTTCTTGGTTCTTAACCACATTGAAACATAATATGAAACTAATTACCAAAAAAATACACGTAAAGAGATAAATTTGTTAAGTAATAAATACTAATTATATATTTTTTATGACCAATAATACTAATTCGTTTTTGCAGCTGATTTTTTCAAGTATTGAAATTTTATCTGTTTCAGCATATAAATAATTTAAAAGATTTATTTTTTTATATAACTTTTGTATACAACAATAGCTCGCAAAGTGCGTTAAATCTCCCACTGTTTTAAACCGGACTAATAGAGTATTTTAAAAACGTATAAAAATAAATAGTATATAATGTGACTTAACTGTGCAGAGATAGAAATGATATTTTTGTGTACTAATTTATCCGAATTTATTTTCATTTTAATCAACTAAAATTTTTGTGTTTTGAAATTTTTAAAACGTACTATAGTGAATCCGCACTAGTATATCTCAATCATAATTTTATCGATAATTCAAAACATAAGAATATAGGGGAGGATTACCAAATTTGACCACAAAAACATAATTTTTCCTTTTTAAATAATGACTATTTCCATTTCAACAAAGTGTAAATAGTTTAAAAATAATAAAAAAAATGATCAACTTCCAAATCAATATTTTGTATTGATGTTAAGAAAAAAAAAATCATCACAAGCAAACGTGCTACTGAGAATAATTTCGTGTTTGTTATATAATAATCTTGATTTACTTTTTTTGTTTCAGGTATCAGTGTCAAATGCCCAAAAGGTGACATTACTGGCAGTCGGTAGACCGCTTTCAGGAATTTTTCAGTGCGAAGTTTCAGCCGACGCTCCACTATTCCATACAGAAATCAAATCTGCGCCTATGACTGTTGCAGGTATGTGATTTTATATAAACAAATAACGGTATTAACCCTTTGTTACTAGCGCGACCGTACGTAGCATCGTTATTTACGTAACGTGAGAAACTCCGTTAAATATAACGTTAGTAATCAATTCATATAAATATATAATTGATTAGATTGAGGAAAAAACAAAAGATTAGTTTCTAAGCACCTTTATTTTATAAAAAAGGTAAAAAAATATCATCACTACAAACATGCAGTCAGTATAAAGAAGGGACATAGATAGGGGTTGCTCCTTTGTAGTTTTAAATGTTATGATTGATTTGAAGCCAATTTTCTTGAACTATAACACAAGATTTGCAACATTATATAGCAAATACATCGTATATTGCGGTTTCAATCTGTTCGGATTCACTATAGTCCGATTTAAAAATTTCAAAATAAACTAAATTTTAAGTAATATAAAAATATACTGACATGATTGTTTTATTTTTGTGTCTATTTTATTTGTATATGATTTTAACGTTTTCGTTTAGACCGGTTTCAAACAATTATAATGTATGGTTTTACTAGCTAGATGCGCCTGTCAGAATATCTTATACTAACCATAATCTAACATATCCAATATATGTAACTTCTAATGTTAGGTTTAGTACAGATTATACTGATTATACAAGATAATTCGTTAGATAAATTTTTTATTATAATTCTAATATTTATTTTATTAACAAATACTTGATTTAGGGTATAATAATATAATATTTGTTATTACGTTTTATAAAAATATTTATGAACTTGAAACATAATTCTAATATCATTTTTAATTATTCTTATTATATCTTATTCTCTCCACTCTTCTTCGGATTACTTTCGATCGAGCTGTTGAGAAAATAATAAAGTAATGACAAAATCACCCTGTATACAGTTATGAAATATTTCCCGAGAGTCATCATTTCCTGTGACTTCAATATCCCCCGCAGGAAGCTCCAGGACCATCAGTCATTTTAATATCCCGAATGGCGACTCACACCCGCCTCACGAGCCAAAACACCCTGATCCACCCGCACCCTTCTCCACCTCCTCTGGAGCCAATGTTTCAACCCACTCTCACCCATCGCAACCAACTTTTAATCCTGGCTATTGTGCAAGAAGTTGGAGGTGGAAAGAGTCCGCGTTTTTGTTTATTCAATCTGTGGACGACCTTTCAACGGCACCCCTTGCCCGGTTCATAATCGGACACACACACACATAGATACACAAAAAATACGCTGTATATGAAAGAGAAATAGCGTCGGTGATCGGCGACGTCGACGAGGAAAGATGAAGGGCGGCTACACAAAAAAGTGCTTATATATATATGTTTAGAGTGTGCGAAAGAAAGGGAAGGAGAAAGTCTTGTATAAAGAAAATGAAAGGCAATCAACTTTCAGGGACGCATTGGGCTCGTAAATGCATTAACGATATGGCGACGATGTAATTGATTACATTAGGCCTATTATTATGTGATTCCGTCAGAGTTGTTGTTGTGTAATATCCAATGTGACCGGTATTCGTTGTATGCGAAGTAAGATGAATGATGGTTTTAGGTATAATTAATACAACACATATCACAATTAAAATATTCTCTATCTATTTTTTTTTGTACTTTCATTATAATAATAATACATAAAGTTTGTAATGAATTTACTAAATAATTATATTTATTACACAAGGTACATTGTGATTGATTATTTGTAAATAAAAATATAAACACATTGAACAATTGAAATGAAAATAATAAAATATTGTAAAAAATTGCAGAAAATTAATAAAAAGCTTAAAATTATAATAATAAAAATCAATCATATTATAATATTAAAGACTATTTGTTTACATTATATTGGGTGAAGTAAAAAGTTTTGAGCGTTTTTCGTTAGATGACTTTAGTGAGCCTATCTCACGATGTATACGTTTCATCTTGTCATTCTATAATGCGACTTAAAGGCGACTTAAAGCCGACATAATGTTTTAAAAAAGTTCTTTGACAGTTTTGTCTTTAGTGAATCCAGTTGTGTGTTAGAGCGTTCTAAAATGGAGGTAAAAAAGAGAAAATTCGATACATTTTTCAGTGCCACTAAGACCAAAGGGAAAAGCGGAACAGGCGGCCAAAAACAAAAAATGTGATTTTTTATGGATCCAATACAGAGTAAAGCGTTGGTTCTAATACTTCCGTTCTGGTAATATGAACGTCGAAGATGAGACAGGCTCTGCTAGGCTAATCGTCAAAAATATTGATAAAACTTATTGGTTTGGAACCAAGGCTGGTCTCAAGAAGAAGTTCGATGTATGGGACAAAACGCTCAGAAGTTTTTACTTCACCCAATATTATCATTATGTATGTGAATTTCCAAGTAAATATTATTTTAATTAATGTTTGATATTAATCTTTTAACTTTGCTAGCAATTACCTTACAGTTCCTCATTAGATTTCGAATAATATTTATTATAGACTGTAAAAACGTTTTAAATACAGCTTAACGATCGACATTTCGCATAACGAGTGACGAGGAAAAGAGATGTCCCTAATTGTGCATCTGATACATCATTTTCAAAACTTTTGTTCGGACATATGAGTATTTTGTGCAAAACTGTTTCATTATACGAGTAAAAATCCGGAAATTTTGGAACGGTTTATGCTCGTTAAGCAAGGTTCCACTGTATATTAATTTAAAGTTATAGGTTTTAATTATTTCATTTTGTAAATATAAGTTATATTACGTTTTGTAATTGCTTGCGATTAAAATTTTAAATATTTAGAAGTGTCTTATTAATTTCATTAATAATTCAGTTCTAAGTGTAAAAAATCAATGAATAAAGAAGAAAAAAAGGAATATCGATTATATAAATAATGCAATAGACATTTCATATAAAAATAGTATTAAATATTTTTTATTTCTATATATTGTTTGTTCAAGAAATAAAGTAAAAAAAATAAAAGTATTATGTTTCAAGTTATTTATATTATTTATTTTATTCTTTTTATTACAATGAAGCCGGATTTAAATTGTAACAACTTAATTAGAACGATTCTAAAAATTGATAACATTAATATAAATTGACAGTAGAACATTTATATTTAGTTTAATAAAGTAAATTTTCAACAATTGTTTATTACAACCTGATAATTAAAAATAATTCAAATCAGTTTTCCATATATTCTTCAAACCAATCACACGCTAAACGAAATAGCGTTATACGAAGTATATTTAAAATTTATTTCTGATTGCGAATAAACCACATTATATAAAATTAGCGTTAATTTAGATATCATATTGCATATGATATTATATAATTATTATTTTAACTGTCATCGTAATTAATAATAAAAGTACAACAATATGCTAAATTTATCTAATACAATTGTTGTAGGTGTACCATACGATTTAGTTAAAATAAAAGTAGGTAGGTAGATTATCTCAAGTGAATTATCTCAGTGAAAAGAATCAAGAAAGTAAAATAATATTTTTTTCAACAAATTATGTATTTTTGTCTAGTATCACAAAAGGGAAAAAAACATGTTTTTTTGTATATTATATACAGTCTGCGAAATATTTATTTGTATAATATAATATGCTGAAAAGATTACAAAAACTTGTTTTTATACTTAAGAACTGCATTCAAAGTGGTCTTTCATGGAAAAATATTTGCCTTGATTCGACTATTTAATCCATATACTTGCCATACTAATTATAACATTTTCAATGTGCAATTTTTAATTGTATGTTTTTAAACAAATAATTTAATTTGAAGGATTAAATAGTAACATTTATTACATGTTCTTCTATTTTTTTTAATATAAAATATTATTCAAATTCGGTAATATTATTGTAAAATAGCGTTGTTAATGAAACCGAAGTGGAAAATACATTTGATACAATAATCCTGTTTTTGTTCATAAGTCTATCAAATTCATTGGATATTTGAAGCACACCTCTATACATATTTTTGCTAAAGTATTCCATAATTTTTGAATGTTTTTATACCAAAACTCTTTTTATTATCTCAACAGTTATGTTTTCTTTTTGCCCTAAACCGAAGGTTCTCGTTTTTTTTTATTCAACGGACTTTGTGGGCGTCGAGAGGAGAAGGAGGATGCAGAATTTTTATATCTCCGGGAAAATTTGATTGATTACATCGAGCGGAATAAAACATGAGGTCAATTTTGCACGCCCCGAAAGCCCATCAGAAAATGAAGAGATAGATAGAAACTAAAATAAAATTCGGTTTCGAAACGCAATCCATTTCGCGTCTTCCTTAGGTTTTCTTTTCAACTAAATATACATTTAAAAATATTCTAAATATCTATTTAATACAGGCAAAACATACAATAACATGAAGATCGAAATACCTCTCAGTTATTTGAATACAAATGGAAATACATTACAGACTTCGTCTGCGTTGAAACGAAAAGAAATACAAAACTTTCGACGAAAACCTATTTCAATTTTCCATCGGAATTTTTCACGAAATGTAAATTTGAGATACCGCGAATTAAATGCTCCAGAGGTAAATAATTCTGTAAACCGAAGTGAATGGGGGAGAACAGCGTGGAAGGAGTGTATCCTCCACCTCTTCATCCTCATCCTAGTGCTTTTCGCCCGAAGAGAAGGGAGGTGAAACCAACCAACCACCCACGCCCTCCTCTTACTCTTCCACCCCCGCAGTCTAATTGCGCCATAGAATTCCATCCCATTCTCGCAGCCCTTGGGGGCTCTATTAAAATGTCCGTCGGGATAATGGGGGACCTCAGGAGAATGTTCCTTCCTCTACGGCATTGCCGATGTTCGATGCCGAAAAGAAAATTAGAGATTACTATTTCTGCCCTATTTGTTTAATAACCCCAAAATTGAAACATAAAACTCAACGTTACTTTTTACGTTTATTAAGTGTTCAGTATTAGAACGAAGAAAGATATTCAAATAAAATTGCGAAATAAAAATGAAGCATAAGGAAATTTCGTAAAATATCATTCACATTTCATTTTATGTACATCT